TATTTAGAGATCTTTGAGTAATCCCTTTTCTTTAAAAAAAAAAAAAAAAGATTTATTGATTTGAGAGAGCCGGGGTGGAGGGGCAGAGGGAAAGAGAGAGAGAGAGAATCTCAGTGGACTCCCCACTGAGTGCAGAGACAGACATGGGGCTCAATCTCATGACCCTGAGATCATAGCTGGGGCCAAAATCAAGAATTGGACGCTTAACCAACTAAGCCACCCAGGTACGCCTGGATGATTCCTTTTCTTTTCTTTTATTTATTTATTTACTTTTATTTTTTATTTTTTGGATGATTCCTTTTCTAAATAAAAAAATAAACAATTTCACTCTGTCATTCAATTCTTTTTTTTTTTTTTTTGTCATTCAATTCTTAATAAGGTACTTGCTTAAGGAAAGCTTCAGCTAAGCTCTGTGAGGCAGCTGAACCCGCTCATGCATACCCACAGCTGAAAATCTTTTGGTGCAAACAGATGCCGCCAAAATAAACCACATGATTTGGGAGCAAGAGGAAAAACAGAAGCTGTAAGTCAGTGTGAATCCCCTGTACTTTCAACTTCAGAAAATTCTGAAGTTTCTGAACTTGGAAACTAACTCTCTAGTGAGGCTCGGACACTGGGCAGCAGCCCCCTCTGCTCCTGGCTCCTCTGTCCGACGGTGGAAATCAGAAACTTTAGCCACCAGTCGGGGCAGATGTCTCCAATCCTGTGGAGCTGTCGATACCCAGAAGGAGGAGAACAACTTTGGGACAGGACTGCTTCACCCCATGGTTCTCCAGGTGTGGACCCCAGACCAGCACCACCATCACCTGGGAACTTTCCGGAATGCAGTCTTGGGTTGCACTCCAGACCTCCCAAATCAGAAATTCTAAGAGTGGGGCAGCCACCTGTGCTCTAACCGGGTTAATTCTGATGCACACTGAAGTCTGGCCTCCACGGCCATGAGTCAGGTGAGCAGCTTCCCAGCGGTGTGCCCAGGGAAGGCTTCGAGGTCTAGAGAGACCCTCCTCTGCTTGGATTCCTAACGGAAAGGCACAGGAGGTTCTGGGACGTAGCCAGAGTGCCCCATTCTACTCTGTTTAATAATGTGGTACAGCTGGAAGGTTGCATTTAAACAATTATACGGCTTGAAAAATGTTTTTGAAAATACTGAACAGATGGGAATATAAGTGGCCATGGACAATGCAGTCACTTGCAGAATGTTCTCAAAGGTCTGGACCCCGGGAAGCCAATGGCAAAAAGGGAAGCTCAACCAGTTAAAGCAGGTTCACAGGCTCTTTCCTGAGGAAGAAGCAAGTTTTGACATCCTCCAGTGGCTCTAATAGAAGAGAGGGGGTGTTTCCAAATCCCTTCCATTGTAGCTGAGGATTGCCTGAGATGGGGGTGCCATCTCTCTTCTTCCCGATTCAGGGAGAAGACGTCTTGTAAAGGAAGGACATGGCAACAAAAAAATTGACAGGCAACTGGAGGGAGGGAACGAGAGTGGCTTAAAGCAAACCCTCCAGCCCCACTTAAAACATTTTTTTTTTGAAACTTAAATCTTGACATTTTAAATTTAATTTTGAAATTTTAACTTAGATTTTGAAATTTTTAATTTTTAATTTAATTTTCAAATTTGAAATTTTGAAAATGTCATTTAAGTTTAATTTTGAAATTTTAGTTTAAATTCATTTTTTAAATTTGAAGTACCAACACTGCTCCTGGGGAAACAAACCTCTAGAAGGGCCTGTCACAGCCTCCCCCTGCCTGGCCCTCTGCCTCTCCTGTCCCTACTCTCAGCAGGACACCAAGGGGGATCTGAGGGTGGTGCTCTGTCTGAATGTGTGTGTCTCCCTCAATCCACAAACTGGAATCCTTATCCCCAGTGTGCCGAAATTAAAGGGTGGGACCTTTGGGGGGCAACTAGGTCCTGAGAATCCCTACAAATGGGATTAGTGCCCTTATGAAGGAGACCCCACAGAGCTCCTCAGCCTGTTCCCTCACATGAGGACACAGTGAGAAGTCTGCAATATGGAAGAGAGTCCTCACTAACCACCGAGATGGACACCCAGCCTCCAGATCTGTGAGCCCCCTGGTCTGTGGTGCTTTGTTACAGCAGCCCCGACAGGCTAACATGGGTGGGGAGCGGCAATAGGGCCACAGCTGAGCTGAACAAGCAGCTACCGCGCCCCCAGAATGCCCTTCATAGTTAAGCCTGTGGACTGAATCAACAAGGTCAGGTGCAGCTGATTCCTATTACTCACAGTGGCTACATTCTATAAAGTTGTCACAGATGCCGAATTAGCCAGTTCTGAACCTCTGTTCCTAGCAGTTATGCTGGGCTGGGTTCCTGCAAGCCTCTGGTCACAACACTTTTGTCAACTGTTCAATAGGTACCCTTATTTTATGAGCATTTCTGTGTGAAAACACGTTATTTAATGTACATCACTGACTTCACAGCCAACACCATTATCACTTATGCCCAAATGAAGTTTAACTAACAGAAGGATTTTCAACAGAAGGCACACCACAGCCTTCTTGCACTAAAATGCACTACACAGCACTTCACCGTGACGTTTGGGGGCATGAGCAAAAAGTACATTACAGAAACCGTGGCCCTGAACCCACCATGAAGGACACTTGTGTACAGTATGAGAGCTGCTCTCAGACAAGGCCATGCTTGCTCTACCTCAGTGGGGAGCAAGGGCCCCAGGCGACAATGATTTTTTTTTTTCTGCTCTACACATATTCACAGATGCGCATGAAAGAACCATAAGTATTGGCCTTGGGGTTACAAATAAATCTAGAAAGAGGCAAATTCGCAAATATGGAAGCAACAAATAAGGAGTATTGTGTGGAAGCAGCTAGTGACCAAAGCCAGACCAATCCCTGCTCCTATCAGCACTGCCTCTTTTCTATCAATTTCCAGTAAAACCAAGACAATGCAACTCCGGACACATGTTCAATAACACTGGCCAGGCACCAGAGCCGCTCATGGAACTCCACCTGAATCTCTCTACTGGGGAATGAAGCCAGAAAGCTGGCCAAGTTCTTGGCACTGATTAGATAGATCTGTGCTTAACCACTGGTTCCTTCCTGTACCCTGTGATCATTCTTGGTCATGGTGAGAGGTGACACAGCTTCGCTACAATGCGTCATCTTCCTTGGCCTTGGAAGAGACCAGTGATGCAGGCAAAGCCCCAAGCATCGTGAGAGGAGGAAAACTGGCTTTGCCCACAGCCAGTGAAGTCCAGACCACAGGCTTTGGCATGCAAGCTGAATCTGCTTCAAATCCCAGCTCTGCTGCTCACCAGCTCCGTGCCCTTGAACACGTATATGGAACTGAGCCTCAGTCTGCTCGTATGTAGAAGGGCAAAGGGGTCTGTAACAGAACCTCTCACTTCCTCTGGTGTCTGGAGGATGTACAGGGACACGCGATGGGACATGCTCCACATGGTGGCTATAGGTCCGGGACACATCATTTAAAATACAGCCTCCAGGGGTACCTGGGTGGCTCAGTCGGTTAAGTGCCTGCCTTTAGCTCAGGTCATGATCCCAGGATCTTAGGATTGAGGCCCACATTGGGCTCCCTGCTCGGTGGGGAGTCTGCTTCTCCCTCTCCCTCTACTGCTCCCCCTGCTTGTGCTCTCTCTCTCTGTCAAATGAATAAATAAAATATTTAAAAAAAATAAAATACAGGGCAGCCCGGGTGGCTCAGTGGTTTAGCGCCACCTTCAGTCCAGGGAGTGATCCTTGAGACCCGGGATCCAGTCCCACATCAGGCTCCCTGCATGGAGCCTGCTTCTCCCTCTTCCTGTGTCTCTGCCTCTCTCTCTCTCTCTCTCTCTCTCTCTCTCTCTGTGTGTGTGTGTGTGTGTGTGTGTGTGTCTCATGAATAAATAAAATCTTTAAAATAAATAAATAAAAAATAAAACAAAAAATAAAATACAGCCTCAGTGTTCAGAAACACTGACCAAGCCCCAAGGGTACTTTGGTTCTTCCGGCAGCCACAGAACCCCCCAGCCAAGTCCTCCTGCATCCAATGCTCAGAGAGCTTCCCCTTGCCCTTATGGCTCCCTCTTGTAAAATGAGGGGATGAGGATGATCTCAGCCTCCTTCCAGGCTTCACTAAGGGAGGGTATGTCCCACCAGCTTCCTGGGCCGGGGTCAAATGGGAGCGCCTGTTCACCACAATTTCCCTAGTGCCATGCAACACTGCAAATGGGAACTGCTTTAGTGATATAAACATAAGTTAAAACATCTGTGTCTAACACCTTAAACTTATGATGTCATATGTGAATTAAATTGTAATAAAACTGGAAAAGTGTGTGTGTGTGTGTGTATATATATATACACACACATTAAGTAAACCTGTATTTATATATAGAGAGGAGTGGGGTGGGGAGGAACATGTATGTTTAGGGAGAGAAGGATATGTGTGTATGTATTGGCATCTGAGCCAAATCCTGAGGCTGATTCTGAGCAAGCTTGGTTTACACAGAGTAAGAGCCAGTGGGGTTATGCACAGTGTCCTTGGACATCTGTGATTGCTGTGGGGTGGCTGGGGCATGAAGGGCAGGTGAGGGAAGACTGCCTGGCCCAACTCATTAGCCAAGCAAAGGCACAAAGACCGGGTCCCCTTCCCCATCCGATGGCTGGCTCCTCTCTTCTCCCACCACTGCCAGAAGACAAAACAAGCAGCCGACCCCGCTTGTGTCCTAGGTCAGAGGCAGCGAAGTCATTCTTTGGCAAGGTATAAATAGCACGTCCTCTCTTCCAGAAGACTTCTGTTTTAAATAGGGGCCCCTGAAGAGCACAAGGGACCAAATCTCTAAAATGCCCGTTGGGGCAGGGTCTTCCTGGTGAGAACGGGGCCCTGTGTAGGAAGGGCATGCAGACCTCTGCAGAGGTGGGGCTGCAGGGGAGGGGACCGGGGGAGGAGGATGGCAGGGAGGGAGGGAGGCCAGCGTCGAGGCCTGGGCCCCGGCTCCCACCACCAGATGCAGCCCCAGGCCCCACTGTACCTCTGGGCAGTCAGATCCCTGGAGACCGGGCTGAAGGCATCACCAGGGTGGGAAGGGGCAGCTAACAGTGGGTGTTCCAGGTCCTCAAGGGCAGCTGGCTGGATGACATCATCCGGTACATGTGACCTGGGGAGAGGAAAGTGGGGAAAAAGCAAGGCTCAGAAATGTTCCTGAAAGTTTTCAATGTGTTTCAACAGCACATTTTACATTTTACGGGGACCCTGGGCAGGGCCTCAGGGCCCCCCTGCCGGCAAGAGCCAGGTCTGCTGCTCCTCCAAGTGTGGCCCCCAGGTGGCGCTGGCCCAGGAGCGCTGTGTCCCCTTCCAGGACGCGCACAGAAACCCAGGGCAAGTGTTCAGAAGCCTGCACAGCCCCGCGATAGAGTAATCTTGCCTGTTGAGTCTAATAATAAAAGTCAGGATGCTGCTAAACCTCCTACAATGCACAGGGCAGCCCCACCGCAAAGGATTATCTGGCCCAGGGTGTCATAGTGCTCAGGTGGAGAAACCCTGGCTGTGAGTCTCCTTTCATTCCCCACTACTTCATTTAATTGCATTTTTTAAAGTTTTGATCTATATGCATTAGAAACTTAAACATTTTCTTCAAGATTTTATTTTTGGGATGCCTGGGTGGCTCAGCGGTTGAGCACCTGCCTTTGGCTCAGGGCATGATCTCAGGGTCCTAGGATCAAGTCCCACATCAGGCTCCCTTTGGGGAGCCTACTTCTCCCTCTGCCTGTGTCTCTGCCTCTCTCTGTCTCTGATGAATAAATAAAATCTTTTTTAAAAAAATTTCCTACATTTAAATTTGAAAAAAATATTTTATTTTTAAGGTATCTCTACCCCTGATGCAGGGCTCGAACTCAGGGCCCCAAGATCAAGAGTCACAGGCTGAGCCGGCCAGGCACCCTGAAACTTAAAACTTAAAAACAATGCTGGCCCTTCATCCACTGAGAAGGTGGACACCAAACAGCCTCCAAGAGCAGCTGGCTTTGAAAGGTCAGAGGGACGCTGGTCACTGTCACACACTGGTCATGCCTCAGCTCACTCCACTGGGAAACCCCTTTGGTAATCAGGTGAGTTCATCAGGGAGGACCATGAGTTGTTCTTTCTGATGAACTTGGCTCTGGGCAGTAAGTAGCAGGACAGTCTCTTTCAGTCCCTGAGCACATACTGATCGCATAGCGACTCTTACATAGTGAAGGAGAAAGAGGTGGGTCCGGCCTTAGGGGAATTTAGAGTCTTAGGCCAGAGTCAGACTTTTTTTTTTTTTAATGCTGATTTATTTAGTGACAATAGCAGTAAGCACTAAGAAGGAGAGACAGATGGCTAAGAGCATAAACCAGGAGGTCTGGGTAGGTAGTGGGAGCCAGGGAACATTTCCTTGTGGAGTGGTACACTGAGGCCGGCCAGCCAGCCCAGTGATAATGACTATGTGCTAGGATCTGTTAGCCTAAGTGCTCATAGATATGATCCTCACCACATATGATCCTCACAGCAACCCTGTTAGGTGGGTACTCTCATTATCCTCGTTTTACAGATATAGGAACTGAGGCACAGAGGGGCTGAGTAACTTGTCCTCAGTGCAAAAGAAAGGAAGCGTGCCTCCAGTACAGGAAGCCACATACCTGAAAGCCATGAACCAGGAACGAGTTTAGCATTTGGGATCAATGAATGCAAAAGGGCACTGTTACTGGAGTGTGGATGGTGCAGACTAGGAAGGGACAGGGTGGACAGGATCCAGACCCCAAGGCCAGGTGGAAGGACTGAGACTGGATCCTAAGCCAAGGAATTAGCCCCAAACTCCTCTCCAATGCTCTGCCACAAAGTGCTGCCCATGACATTGAGATGAATGAGACGTGGGGTGGTCCAAGGTGAATTTCCCAAAACTATGTTTTAAATATGATTAGACCAGCACATACCTGTGCCCACACCCTTACTATTTATTCCATGGACCTTGTGATGTTCCCTTCCACTTGCACGGTTCCCATTCCAAATCCCCTAGAACAGGATCCCAGAACCCTGTGACCACACCCAAGGAATCAGAGAGAAACGGATACAAGAAGAAAAGAAGGAGCCAGCCCGGAGGAAAATCCTCAACTACAGGCACTAGTGATCTTCCAAAGTTATTAAAAAACCTGAGTGGAAAAACATCACCCAGGAGCTTTGGCAACACACACTGAAAGCCATAAAAGACTTTATTTCCTTCAACACAGTCATTGGACTTCCAAGAATTTATTTTAAGGAGGTGATTAAGGGTATGAGCAAAGATGCTGATCATAACTGTGACCATAATAGCAAAACAAAACAAAACAAAACAAAACAAAAAAACTGCAAATAACCAAAATGTCCCACAGCAGGGGACAGCTGATCATATTAAGGCATAGCTGTAGAGCAGACTCATGGGCAGCTGTTTAAAAAAAACAAGGTAGATTTCCATACACCATCATGAACTAAAAAGAGATTTTAAAGCTGTCGGTAGCATGACCCACGTTTCATGTGCACGTGTGTATCGATGTTTTTCTGTGTGCACATATGTCTATATGTACACCTACATATAAACACACGTGCAGGAAGCACGCAGCAGAGTGAACAAGTACCAAGCAATGAGGAGGATGTGTGCCAAGGTGTTATTAGTAATTCTCTTTCAGTAGTGAAATTATGGGCGCTTTTGTTTTAAGATTTTTTATTTTTAAGATTTTATATATTCATTCATTAGAGACACAAAGAGAGAGAGAGAGAGAGGCAGAGACACAGGCAGAGGGAGAAGCAGGCTTCATGCAAGAGCCCGATGTGGGACTCGATCCTGGGACTCCACCCTGGGCCAAAGGCAGGTGCTAAACCGCTGAGCCACCCAGGGATCCCCCTAAGATTTTATTTTTAAGTCATCTCTATACCTATGGTGGGGCTCGAACTCACAAGATCAAGAGTCGCACGCTCCATCGACTGAGCTGGCCAGGTGCCCCAGGAGTGCTTTTTCCTGTTGGATTTATTTCTACTTTCTAGTTCTAGCCTGACTGTGCACTGTGTTTACAATCAAAATAAGTAAGAAAGCACACTTAAGGATAATTTTAAGTGAAGGGAATGCCTTCAGTTTCTATATCACTCAGTGCAAGTTTTAAGAGATGGAACAATCAGAGTAAAGCCCACTTCTGTATTCACATTTTCCACATGAGGACCTGGACTTGTCAGCCTCGTCTCAAGGCAGAAGCACAGCCACGCCTCACTCATCAGGCACCCCCAGGAAAACTAAAGATCCCAGGGGAGGATTTGGGGGGTAAGAGATATCTGCCTGCGTATTCTATGGGACGGCATTTCCATTTTAACTCTTTGGGAGGGTTAATGTTTGAAAGCATATTGGACACTTCTCTGAATTTTCTGAACAGAGGATCGTGCACATAATGAAATGCTTTCTCAATGACACACAATCAGCATCCTGAGTGACTATGACATAAGTGAGGAAGTATGCCGTGGTGCTAAAAGAACAATTGTACACGAAAAGAGGGCTGGATTCTAGACTGGCCCCACCTTGGGATCTCAGCCAGGTGACTTCTCCATCTGTAAAAGGAAGGCACTGGACTGCACGGTCCCCAAGGACTCTCCCAACACAGTCTTGCCCCTCGCTCGCAGGCTGTCAGCCAGCACCTCTGCTAACTCACCTGACTCCCCTCTACTTTCCTTCCTCAGTTCTCTGCTTCTCGTGCACAGACTAAGACATACGCCGAGGGCGTTAGAACAGTGTGTAGGTCAAGAGTTGATAAGCACTGAAATAGGTTTATAAACCATACAACATAATCATTTTAAAATATAAGTATATGCGTATATACACATAAGTTAGCTTGAACTATGTGAAACTTCTAAAAAAAAATTGTGAAATTCACACTGTACCATCGGCTCGAAGGCCTTTTTTGTCTTACTGCCTAGTGACACAGTTATGTTCCTGATGGCCAAGCTGACTTCTGGGTAGGTGGAGGGATTCTTATAAAGCAGCTCCTCTTGGACCAACTGCAAAAGGCTATAAATGGCTTCTAAATTCTACCAGTGGTGGTGCTCGGACTAGAGTTACTGAAATATTTTTCAAGGGAAAAAAAAAAAAATCTGTCCAAGATTTTAACTACCAGCTGCTGCCACCAGCTGCCAGAACTAGCCCACTATAAATTTAGTCAGGCCAGCAAAGGGTTGATTTTCCACTGGAATGTCAGGGAGGGGCGCTTGCATCAACAAGTGCTTCTCCAAAGGGCCATGAGTCACCCTCCCTTCAGAGATGGAGGCAGAGAGGATTTGGCTTCAGAAAGGAAGGCAGTCACATTCTGGTCTAAAAAGCCAGCACCTCAGCTCCTCACACAAGATCTGCTGCTCCCAGAAGAGCCCCAGGCTGAATCTAATGGGGTTCACTAAACAATAATGATAATTAATACTAATAATGGGAGTAGGAGGAAACTCTGGGAGGGGATGGGCATGTTTATGCCTTGATAGCAATGAGGGTGTCCCAGGTGTGTACTCAGGTCCAAACTCATCAAGTCGCAGACAGTCAATAGGTAGGGCTTTTTATATGTCAATCATACCTCAATAAAGTGGTTTAAAAAAGAAACAGGATGGCACACTCCAGAGTTGACAGGCTACTCAAGAGCACGGCCAGTTCAAAGTCTAAAGTAAGGAGAATCGGGGTGGCAATAGAACTGCCCTAGATAAACAGGGTTCCGCAAGCGGGGCCATCTGGAAAGGCTCCCTAAGGGGTGGGGCACGCAAAGTGCTTCACCGATGAGTGCAAAGAGCTTTCCAGATTTAAAAAAAAAAAAAAAAGCTTCTCCCTTCTCTGTCCCTGACGGTTCAGATGGAAAGTCATCAGGCTTCTCTTCCCTTGGACAGAGCAAGGAAGCTCACGGGAGAAGGGGCAGGGGCTGTGTTACCTACAGAGAGAATAACAGAAAAATAACTTTATGGAGGGTAACGGGAGCCAGGTCCCAGGTCCTCACAGTCAGAGGACTTGCATATAGGAAAGGTCTTAGGCCCCAAAGCATGCTCAGAGCTGTGCTGCAATCAGTGGTAGGAGATAAACACAGAACCAGGCGTAGGGGTAAGTGTGTGCCCACATACACCTCTACTTCCCCACTTTCTCTGCTGTGA